GCAGTGGTGGGTTGCTCCCGGTTTTGTCCGGTTCTTTAGAACCGGTAGTAAAAGCAGCAGGAGGCTCCGCCCACCCACCCGGATGTCATAATTGATTATCTGCTCATGCGCAGAAGCTTCTAGTCATGCGCAGAAGTGCAAGCGCACTCCCATTGCAAACCAGTAATAAAGGTAAGTAGAACCCACCCCTGATTCAAGGGCTGATTCAAAAGAACCCACCCCTGATTCAAGGGCTACAATGGATAGCTCCCACAACCATGGTGCTGAAGATGCTGAAGACATCCAAGAGAATCCCAAACCCAATTTTCAGACTTGTCAGTGGAATTGCCAACTATTTGTTGTGTGTTCAATAGGTGTCATTTACCATAATCTGGGAAAATAGGAATTTTGTCCATTTCAGTTGCATAAAGCTCCCATTCCAACAAACACAGCACACTTTAAATTGATAATGTGTACTTTGTTAATCAAAACAAATTATATGTTATCGATTATTATTCATTTTTTCATCTTTCGGATCTTTCGAATCTTCGGTTCACCGAAGAAAAGGAAACAGCTGTAGATGTTTGTTTATGCTTTATTGCTGGACAAACTAAAGTAAGTTAAAGCAGGAGTAATGAACAGATTGTGGCTGGCCACCAATAATTGCTTTTTTCTCTACATAAAATAGGATGTCTCTAATATCCAAAGCCCCAGATTTCTTCCAGTTTGCATCCTTTATATATTTTGAGACTTATAGTTCTCACACTTTCCAGCCATAATTTGAGGGTTTGTGTGCTAAAATCAAATGGAGTGTGCCATATAAGAAAGGCCATAATAAAGTGGTTATTGGAGATTTTTAATGGGAAGTCATGTATAATTGTCTTAAATGAATCATTAAATAAATCATTAAATAAATCAGGTAATGCAAAATGAGGCAGAGAAACTCGCCGTGGTAATATCAAAGCCTACAATGCAATTCACCGAATGTTACACAGGGCAGAAAGAGAGTGAGATGTGGTTCAGAAACTTCTACTTCCGCTCACTTCTACTAATCTCATCGAATTAACTCTCTGATCTGAAAAGTTAGCATTTGTTTGCACTATTACTCCAGAGTCCTGTCCTTTTCGTTTCTTAAGTTTTCTGAATCACGTTTAAGTCATTCAATTATGGAACAGTAAACACAATAATAATTGTTCAGAAGAAGATATAAAGAGTTTACCCACTAAGCTCAATATATGGAAGCTGTTTTTGTTTTTTTTAAAAAAAAAAAGTAATCAGCGTACAGAGAAAACAATTCTGTGCTGTTGTTTCTTGGCCAACTGGGGACAAAACCAAACTTTTTTTTTTCTTCACAAAGATTTTGCACTTCATTTTATGTGAGAGCTTTATGATCACACAACTTCTCCAATCCCATAAAATTAATGAGCAATCTCCATATCTAGTACCAGAAATTATTTCTAGTAAGACTTGAGCACCTGCATGAAATTAATTCCAATTTTAACTAAACACTAAATTTTTTAAAAGTTAAGGCATTCAAACGATGCGGCACATATTTTAAAAATTGTGTGTAAGAACTAGTTTTCTTATTTCTGCAGTCACATTCTTTGCTAGGAAGTGGATCCTTTATAACAGTGAAGGTTAACCTTTTTGGTGCCGAGTGCTTGCACATGCAAATGTACATGCATGTGCCAGAACCCCAAAATGCAATGTGAGTGCCCCTCTGCACATGTGCCCTGCCCCCACGCATGCACATGCATTTCCCACGCATGCGCCCTGCCCCCACGCATGCCCCCTGTGCCCCGTTTTGGCTTCCAGATTGATGCAGGAGGCTTTCCAAGCCCAAAACAGGGTGTGGGGGGGGTCCCCCCATGGCCTGTTTTGTGCCTGCACCAACCTGCACCCCTCTATGCATCTGCCCCCCTGCATGCACGGCAGAGACCCGAAGACCAGCTGACCAGCAGAAGGCATACGTCCATGTGCAGTGGAGCTGGGCTGGGGTGATGGCTGGTGTGCCCACAGAGAGGGCTCTGTGCCATAGAGAGGGCACACATGCCATAAGTTCACCATTATGGCTTTCTAAGCTATTAACAAAGAAACTTTTTACTCCCAGTTTCAAAAATCTTGTGAAAACTGTACCTGTGGATCATCAATATCATTTTTTTCAAGAGTTTACGGTAATCACTGGAGATTGAACAAGGATCTTCAAGAGATTTTTTCTTCCTTGTCATATTTTTTGTTTTAAGAATAATGTTCATTCCTTGGAAGGGTATTTTCTTCATACTTATTACAATGTTAATTGTAGTAATTTAGTAAGCCTTGACTTATTTATAATAAAAGCAAAAATTCATTGGAATCCAGATTTATTTTACCCCTCTATTTAGAAGGATATTTTGAAAACAGATTCATCAATGAGGACAAATAAAAGTTTTGGTTTGTTCTTTCATTTCATAAAGTATATTTTCTACTAAACAGGTGCCCAAACTGGTACATGGAAAATCTTTCAGGATCAGTTACCATAGAATCAATAACAGAAATGATACAATAACATTTAAGAGCAACATCAATTTAAAGAGAAATGACTCAATCATGCAGGGTGCAATGTATACCAGTATGAAACAGCTCATCAAATGCAGTTCAGGTAAGGAGCTTGTCAGCACACATATCTCAACTGAATTCCACAATTAGATTGATGCTCCAAAAAGGGGACTCTGATATTGTTAATGGGGAAGTTCTTCTGGAACATGATTGTCCCTCTAGAACTCTGACTCCAAACATCAAAGCCTTTATAAATCAAAGTCAATAATCTGCAATGAGTCTTGAAAAAAAACTGAAAAGTTAAATTGTCCCAAGATCAGGGTAATGTCCACTAATGTAGATGTAATAGATTTATTTAAAATGTAGTCTCATAACGTTTTTTAAGAGTAGCACCACAAAGAGTGTTTGATGATGATGAATAAGGTTTGAATAAAGCACAAGTTGCCATAAGCCGAGGTGGTGCAGTGGTTAGAGTGCTGTACTGCAGCTACTTCAGCTGACTGCTAGTTCAGCAGATCAGCGGATCAAATCTCACTGGCTCAAGGTTGACTCAGCCTTCCATCCTTCCGAGGTGGGTAAAAGGAGGACCCAGATTGTTAGGGGGCAATATGCTATTTAGTATAATGTCTTTGGTGTAAGCCGCCCAGAGTCCTCGGAGAGTGGGCGGCATAGAAATATGACTAATAAATAAATAAATCACTTCCTTTTTATTTGTATTTTTTTTAATTTAATTTTTAAAATTTATTTTAAATACACGTAATGCAAACAATACGAACGTATACATACACATCTAAATACAAAAAATACAAATAATACAGTGGATCCCCACCCCCGGAGACCATTCCCCCCCCCCTTATATTTCTTCTTCTATAACAGTTAAAAAATATACAACATATTCTAAATGTGCCCTTATCCACTCCAAAACAGCATATATTCTTGAGTAGGTTTATTCCCTTTGCCTTCTACCAACACTGATTTTATAAAAAATGCCACTGCTTCACCAGACAAATGTAGACAAATATTTTCCTGACTTCTGTTGTTTATTTATTTATTTATGTATTGGTTTGATTTATATGCCACCCTTTTCCAGAGACTCAGGGCGGCTTACAATGCGTTAAGCAATAGCCTTCATACTTTTGTATATACCTTCTTAGTAGGGCTTTCGGGGCCCCCCCAAGCGGTGTTTTTTTTTTTTTATACAAAGTCAGTTTATTGCCCCCACAAACCGGGTCCTCATTTTACCTACCTCGAAATGATGGAAGGCTGAGTCAACCTTGAGCCTGGTGAGATTTGAACTTGCAGTAACTGCAGGCAGCTGGTGTTACTTAACAGTGCTTTAGTCTGCTGCGCCACCAAAGCTGTTTTATGACTTCCCAGATTCAGGAGACCCATAAGCATTATCCCTAATTGTGTTTTACCTAAAACAGTTGCATCTCCTGGACTGTTTGTTTCCTGATGAAGAGAAAATACTTAGCCCCCCCAGAATTATCCTGAGATGATGGATGGCCAATAAATGTTAATAATAAATAAATAAAAATACTTTTCAAGCCAATCTTTCCTCCTACAATGCACCTAAGGGGCTTGACAGAAGACAGGATGACGTTGGGCTGATTTGGAAAGTAGCAGCTAAACAGAATAACAGAGTTAGAAGGGACCTTGGAGGTCTTCTAGTCCAACCCTCTGCTCAAGCAGAAGAGCCTCTTGTCACTGATGCACACAAGCAGATTGATCCCCTAGGATAGGTTTCCGTGTAGTTTAATTTGCCCTCCATATTCCATTTCTACTGTCATCTCTCAACTATTTTTAGCGCCCTGCCTCTTTGATGGGGAAAACAGAAGGAACGTCACTGACTAAATAAGGCAGGCAACAGACGTAGAGTATGTGGAAGACAGAGACTTCAAACAGTGGGAGAAGAAAGTAATAAATTTAAAAGATTTTTTTCCCTTTCTCAAACAGAAAGCAATGCACAATATGTATTGCAATGCATCTCAATGTGAAAGGCTGAATAATTTGGTTTAGAAATCTGTTGGTCTCCCAGACAATGGGCTGGATTTAAAGTTGTGCCACTAAAAATCAGTGAGATCTGTTAGATCCAGTCCTGTTGATTTCAAGGGGACAAATCTATTTCAAGGTCTATCCTAAATACCATCAAGTCTACTTCCAACCCCTGACTTTAGAAAGCAAACAGAAAACTATTAAGCTGCTCAGCAGTGCTGAAGCACTTAGTGGAGCTTCTATAACAAGAGGCAATCCTCATCCAAAGACCAATGCTTTCTGTGCAAAAAAAATGACAAATAGGCAGCTTTTGTGATTGGCTTGGTACCCTCCTAGAGACCTTTGTGTGGCATAGGTGGAGGTCAAAAAGGTGGAGGAGCAGGTGCCCTTTGATAGGAGGATAAGGGAGGAGGGTCATCTCCTTGTGAATTCTAATGGTTTATGACTTCATCCCTGCAGACTAAAGTGTCAGTTATTATCAGTTATCAGTTATCAGAGTGAAGATGCCTTTCTAGAGGTAAGCTACTCTTCAGTTGGGCTCCTGGACTCTGGGGAAGCTTCTCTTTTAGTAGCCAAATTTTAGAGGGATAAGTGAGGGTGAGAGCTTGGGTTAGGTTTAGGGTAGGGGTGAGGGTGATAGGGTTACAGTGAGGGTGAGGCTGTAGCTGAAAGGCTGAGATTGAGGGACAGGCTGAGCAAAAGGGTGAGGTTGAGAGGGTCAGGATCAGGGGGAGGTGGGACAGGAAGGGGTATGGGTATGGAGAATGGGAATATGAAAAGAAAAGGTAAAAAGAGGAGGAGATGGGAGGGTCAGGGAGGTTGGAAAGGAAGATGGGGAATGGGAGTGGGTAGCAGAGGGGAGATTGAGTGGGGAGGGGGACAGTCCAGGGAAAAGGAAAAGGAGGGGCATGAAAAAGGGGAGGGGGACAAAGAAGTAGAGTAGGTCTGGTAGGAGAGGGGATGGGATGGGACAGGAGAGAGAAGGCACAAATAGGGATGGAGGAATGCCAATGCCTCCATGACTCCATCCAGGCAGGCCACCATCAGAGGTAAGGGAGAGGGAGGGAGAGGGAGGATAATTGGCAAGGAGGAGAAGGCAATAGGCAGGAAGGGGAGAGGAAGGGAAGGGAAAAGGCAATGATAGGGGAAGCAGAGTGGGTTGAGATGGGGCAACAAGTGGAGGGGAGGGGGAAGGGACAGGGAAAAGAAGGGTGGGTAGGGGGGAGATAAGTGTCTTTAAGACTCAATCCATGAAGGTTATCATCAGAGGTAAGTGAGAGGGAGGGAGGGTGAAGGGCATGGGGAGGAGAGAGGAAGAGGCAGAAAGGGCAGGTGGTCAAGAAGTGGGAGGGGGACAAAGAAATAGACTGGGACAGAGAAAAGGAGCAAGGGAAGGGGTGGGAGGGGGGGGAAAGGGAAGGGGGGTTAGACAGGCAGGAGAAGGGCAGGCAGGAACAAATGGGGGGGGAACCTTCATCCCTGCAGGCCACCAGAAATAAGTGAGAGGAAGGAAGAGGGACAATGAGGGAAATGAAGAGGAGAGGGACAGAGGCAGGATAGGGATAGGCAGGAGGAAAAGGGGGGGGACAAAGAGATGGAGTGAGACAGAGAGAAGACAGATGTGAAGGAGGTGAAGAAGGTCCGAAGAAGGACAAGGATAATGGGGATGTGGACGTGGACAAGGAGAGGCAAGGGTGGACCAAGGGAGGACCACAGGAATAAACAGGTTCATGAAGAGGGAATCCTGATATCTGGGTTCCAAATAACACCCCCAACAAAAAAAGACTCAAAGGCTTGAAATTCCTCAAAGTTCCATTTTATTAGAGATGTCTTATTGGCACATCTGGGGAAACCCGAATCTGAAAGCTTCCAACCAAAGAAAAGTCCAAGTCCCTGCCCAGCACCCACATGTCCATCACATGGTCCAATCAAAGCACCTTCCCAACTGGAGATGCCTCCCAGTTCCAGCCCTCCAAGTGCAGGGCAAGATGTCCTTGACTCTCTGAAAATGGAATGTTATTATGACTATATATCACCCTTGCTCCATACAATCCCCCCTCCCAGTTTCCCACAGTAGTAAATGTGGCAGGCCTGAAGATCCAATGCAAGAAATGGCTTCCTGGCCTGACACTTGAAGGAAGAGGGATGCAGGGAAGAGAAGAGGGGGAGAACCAAGTGCAGGGGAACAGGGCCTCCTTCCTTTCCTGTGTCCACCCTGTTTCCCCCTCCCCCAGAACTACAACAGAATTAGAACTAGAAAAGAATTAGAATTTGAGTGGAAGAGAACCAGAATAGTATACAACCAGAACAGAACTAGAGCAGAAATAAAACAGAGTACAACAGAATTAAAATAGGATAGGATAGGATAGGATAGGATAGGATAGGATAGGATAGGATAGGATAGGATAGGAATCAGAATATAATAGTATTAGAACATAATAAATATTAGAATTAGAACACAAGGAATAGAATTAGAGCAAGAATGGAATGGAATGGAATGGAATGGAATGCAATGGAATGGACTAGAATAGAATAGAATAGAATAGAATAGAATAGAATAGAATAGAATAGGAGATGGAATAGAAAGAATTAAAAAATAATTAAAATTAGCATTCAAGTACATTTAGAATAGTTTTAGTATGAAAATGGAAAGAAGACAATTAAGAATTTTAATAGAACTAGATTTAGTTATAGAATTATGAGAACAAAAAAATGAAATTAGAATTAGAAGAGAATTAGATTGGAATATAATTTTAGAATCAGAATTAGAAGAGAATTAGAAGTATAATTTGAATAGAATTTGAATTAGAATAGAATTAGATTTAAAATAGAACAGAATTACCGTGTTTCCCTGAAAATAAGACCCTGTCTTATTTTTATTTTTTTTTGAACCCTGAAATAAGTGCTCGGCCTTATTGCCATGCGCTCAAAAGCCCGATTTGGCTTATTATCGGGGGATGTTTTATTTTGGGGGAAACAGGGTAGAATAGAAAAGAGTAGAATAGAAATAGAATAGAAGAATAGAAATAGAATAGAAATAGAAATAGAATTTGAAAAGGTTTGGAATTACATATAATAGAAATAATTTCAATAGAACTAGAGTAGAATTAGAATAAGAACAGAATTAGAATTAGAGTAAAGCAGAATTAGAATGAGAACTATAGAATTAAAATTAGAATTGAATTAGAATCAAATCGAATAATATAAAATTAGGACTAGAAAAGAATTAGAATATAGTAGAATTGAAATACAATTTGAATTATAATAGAATAGAATATGATAGAGTACAATTGGAATTAGAATTAGTTAGAGTTAGCATTAGAATAGAACAAAATTTAGAACAGAATAGCATAGAATTAGAACTAGAACTAGAATTAGAGTAAAATTAGCATTTAATTAGAATTGGAAATAGAATAGACTTAGAATGGAATTAAGAATTAGTATGGAATTAGGATAGTATTATAATTAGAGTTCAACTACCTGACATAGGGAAAACAACCCATAGCAATAAATAGTTGGCTGACATGACTTGACTTTAACATTTTAATATTGCTGGAGATAATGACCAGTTTGTGCTGGCATTCCTTTTGCAAATTCTTTGGAAACTCTAAATTCAGAAAATTCTGAGTGCTTTATTAAAACTGAAGTGATACTGGAATAACACTGAGAAACTTATTACATAGCATTGCTTATACAAAAGCCCTTCATTTTTTTTTTAAGTACAGCACATGTTTAGAAGCATGATTATCAAATACCTTTAATTGAAATTAGATCTTTGCAAACTTTAAAAAGGGATGGGGGGTGAGGGAGAAGTTTACAAAATAAAGGAAGGAAAAGGAAGAGCCAAATGTTTCTCAAGGGTGAACAAGAATTAATCTAAGAAACAAGTGTGTAAGGTAACCTCTAGTCTTCAACGGATTAGGAAAAAATATAGATAATTTTCATCTACATATATTAACTAATTTCACTGTATGCTTTCTAGCATTAAGGCAGACTTAAGCACAGCCCAGCAATAAGCATATTTAAATTATTTCTACTCCATTGATTTATGACTGGAAGACTTTTTCTCCCAAAAACTAATCTTATTTAGCTTGTAAGCAAGAGATTTACATGCCACTTAGCAAAGTATTTTTTCCATTTTCTGAATAAAATTTAGCAGGAAGCACAGATGGAGGAAAAAAGGGCAACTAAATTTGTTTTCTATTTGGGCATTCACATAATAATGTACCAAGCGGAACATGGGTGCTTCCTGAAAGCAGAATTCATTAGCATTTAACTACTGGGAGATAGGAAGGATGCCTATGGCATATTACAGTAGTAAAGGGATTAATCATGTAATCCCTACAGCAGTGGTCTTCAAACTTGGCAGCTTTAAGACTTGTGGACTTCAACTCCCAGAATTCTCCAGCCAGCTATGCCTCATTAAGTAGCTATGCTGGCTGGAGAATTCTGGGAGTTGAAGTCCACAAGTCTTAAAGCTGCCAAGTTTGAAGACCTCTGCCCTACAGGCAGGGGTGGGTTCTACTTACCTTTACTACCGGTTCACACTTCACTTGTGTGCGTGCCTTCTGCGCATGCACAGATCACTTCTGATGACATCAGGGTCAGTGGGCGGAGCCTCCCACCAGTTTTACTACCAGTTCTATAGAACCGGTCTAAACCGGGGGCAACCCACCACTGCCTACAGGTATTATAGGTAGTCATTGACTTATGACCGTTCATTCAACAACTGTTCAGAGTTAATGAGGTGCTGAACAAAGGGATTTTACGATCAGTCCTCAAAGTTCTGGCTGTTGCAGTGCCCCTGTAGTCTCATGATCAAAATTTGGGTGCTTGGCAATCAGTTCGCACTTATGACCAGTTCCCATGTCCCATGGTCATGTGATTGCACACTGGCTTCTCACAAGCAAAGTCAATCACTGAAGCTTTATTTATTGAATGTTAGAAATGTAAGACTAAAGAATGGATTTTTTTTACCATCTACGGTGGACATGTGATAAAAAAAAAATGGTATGATTCACACTCTAATACAGAAAATCCTGAAACTGCAGATAAAATGAAACCAGAACTTTTCCTTTTGGGGCGAATGGAAAAAGAGCTGGAGAAAAAAATTGGAACTTCGTTACTATACATGTTGACAGGAGCAAGATGGTTATATGCGCAAAAATGGAAAGACAGTTTGATACCTACCACGGAAGAACGGTTGCAGAAGTTGATGGAGTTGGCTGAAATGGCAAAACTGACAACTCTGATTAAAGAGAAGAATATAAGTACTTGTTCTGTCCCCGTCTCACACACGCACCCCCACAGACAGGCAACAGTTAAAGAACTCAGCCGACAACAGTTTATCCGGTATCAGAATTGGCAGCAACCCAGTGGCTGGCTGCCAGGTATTCTTTACTCACGAAGGGGGGAGTTTCTCCCTTCGTCCAGGAACAAAGCCAATACACAATAATCAACAAAGTCCAGTAAATACAAAGAAGGTTGTCCGATATCCGTTTTTTGCTTGTCAAAGAG